TGGCTCATTTCACCAAATTCTTGCCCTCACACTCACTAAGAGTCCATTCGGACGATACCGGCGCTCATATATTAGAGACAGTAGTCTTTGAAACCCCAGATAAGGCAACAATTCTCATAGCACTCAATCGATTAAATGTTGGCATTCCCCTCAAAATAGTTGATCCCGATTTGGGCTCATTTCAAACCACTGTTCCCTCCCATTCCATACACACCTATGTCTGGTATAAACAATAAGTTCTTGAGATCACAGTCTTGTAAATCTTATTTTAAATTCATTATTAATAAAACCTAATAAATAGATAATTAAATCATAATTCTGTGAACACTATAAGAATATCCAGAATATTCTGTACAACTCGTATGAATCATATGTTTTTACTCTATAAATACAATTAAGATTAATATGTAGAAAACTTATAAGCATTTCCAAGTATACTATTAATATGATGATTATATAAAATAAAATTATAAAATAGTGGTTAATTAGTAAATATGATGTAACAGTGTGTAAATGAGTGACCCTGGTGCTGGTGCTGGTGTGTGTTTGTATGTGATGACGTAATTGTTGAATGCATTGACGTTTGAATGATTAAAATCAGGCCTTTTGTCTACAAAGGGATACAACAAATGGATAACTATATGACTAAATGACTAAATGACTAATTGATGACAATTTATATGATATTTGAATCCAATATATATTATATGCAATCAATTGACTATTAATTAACACTTAATTATCTGGTGGTCAACCCAATCCAAGACATAATCAGCAGTAATGATGACAGCACTGGCATATGACGGACACTCCGCCAAACGGATCAAAACGGCAGATGAAGTACTGATTGTATTGATTGTGTGACCATTGGATCAGTGATAACCCAATCCAAGACATAATCAGCAGTAATGATGACAGCACTGGCATATGACGGACACTCCGCCAAACGGATCAAAACGGCAGATGAAGTACTGATTGTATTGATTGTGTGACCATTGGATCAGTGATTGTAATGCATTTGTCATCCCCTATAGGACCGCAACTTCAACCAAAACGCCAATTACTTCGGACACTCCAACTCCAGATACTCCAACCCTAACCGGTCAGACATTACTGAATTTGATCTCATTATCACCACATTTGCCATATTTGTCACATTGGCCGCAGAGGTTATGTTTAGGTTACTGTTAGTGGGTTCACATGTGGCATCTCTTAGACGCGGAGGATAATGTGTGCAATTGATGGCTAATTGTGTGTCATATTAATTGCTATAATTTGTGTCAAAAGCCAACAAATGCTAACTTTAATCATATTTAGACTTAATGTTATTGCAAATAGTATTTCAAATGCCTGGCCGTGCTAACTGTCCATTTCTACACTATTTGCTAGTGTTTTGTATTCAATTAATGAGTTTTAATTTTAGTTCAAACAAAATTGAGACATTATTTGAATCATAAAACAGGTATATATTTGGCTTCAATTTTCCTCTTATGAGAACATTTTCCTCAAAGATATCAATCAAATGCAAAATACAAGTAATTTATGTGTTATTTGCGGTTTTTGTAAATTATTTTAGACTTAATTTTGATTTTTAAAATTGATATCAATTTTGGTTTTTACTTTGTAATTAGTATTTATTATTGTAAGGCTATGAATAGTGTCATAAATAATTATAAATTATAATTTTTAGTCTTTCCTGTAATTTTATTAAATTTATTATTTAACTTGAAATTTAATTATTTTTGGACAACTTAAATGTTTTAATATTAGTTAGTTTTAACGTTAATACCCGGTATGATTTTTAAAAAAATCGCGTTGAGATCATTGAAATGTCAAATTAGTTTGTCATATTAATACCGTATAAATATTTTGTCCACAAATGATTTTTAAATGATTTTTAAAAAACAAGTTTTGGTATAAGATATGAATAAAACTATAGACTGAGTGATGATTTTGAATGCAAACGACGAGAAAAACTGTTGACTCAATACAAGTGGAAGAACCAGATCTTGGGTTCAGGTTCTCCAATGTCTTCATAACAATCTGAGGACTACTTGTCCCTAAAACAGAAAATTTTCATATTTTATATCAAATAAGTTGTTGAACAGCTCTTTCGTCTTGTATTTTGATTTGTTTTGTATTGAGTATGACTTTATATCAGACAAGTGTTTGGTTTTAATGTATTTTAATTGAGAATTAGTGTGGATTTAGAATTTTAATTGTATGAAAGGATTGCCTTAAATGGCAGTCAATGTATTAGATAACGATAACAATCGTTGGCTGTATATTAGCCACCAATTGAATGCTTTCATAAGATATCGTTTACACGATTGCAGTGAACTTAAAGTTGATTACAAAGTTCATTCACCCCAACCCTCCCATCCCTCACTCTCTATGCTCTCTCCCAATGTGTCAATCGGTGTCTACTCTTCTATGAACTGCAGGAGTAATTCACAGATAATACCTATTTTGCATAATATTAACACTTGCGCTAAGACTGTGTATGTGTTTCAATGGAAATATGTTTATTTAGCCTAATATTTGCAAAACTGATTAAACATGTGATTAATTTGGTGTTAACAGCGAAGACGATCGGGTGAATCACGTGCTCCTCATAACAGTGATAAACCCCGCGTATCCCATCACTTGTGTAAGGCTTGACAGTTGTGCTGAATGTGTGGACACGGATTGATGAGTTGTTTATCCGTTAGGACGTAATCAATCAAATCTGTAGTCCGAGTGGCAAAGTGTTGCGGATCGTCATCTTCAAGAAGAATGGCGTTCAGGCGATGGTTGAGTTTGATTGTGTCGACTCAGCAAAGAGGGCCAAACAGGCACTCCATGGCTGCGATATCTACTCCGGCTGTTGTACTCTTCGTATTGAATACGCGAAAGTAAATTATGATTAATGTCTCGGTTTGTGACAAATGATAGCAAATGTCTCTCTCTTATAGCCCACGCGTCTCAATGTCTACAAGAATGACAACGAGAGCTATGACTACACGAACCCCACATTAGGTGAGTCTCAATGTTTAGATTAGTTATGATTTAGTTTTAATAACAGCTTTAATAAAAAACCAATAAAATGAACAAAATTTCTCAAATATCCCAACAAATACCCAAATCACCTAAAAATTCATTTCAAGCACATTAACGACAATATATGAAATAAAAACTTTAAAATCAACTTTTTGTCTTAAATAACAACACAAATCATAACCGAATAATAAATATAAACTTGAGTTCAAAATCACATCCATTTCCATGAATTTCAAACACGAATATCAGTCGAGTATTAAATGACATATTGAGTCGGAAAACAAGAATTTATGAACAAAAATATAAAAAATAATGAGAAAATTAGGAGAAATAGTGAGTCCAATGCCAAGAGAACTGTCTCCTAATTATTTGCAATTGTTTTTCACAACAATTACATTAATATTTATAACAAACATCACTACCGAAGACATCAAATTCACGTAAAATACAGAGAAATATTAGGCAACACATTTGCGAACCGAATGATGTGTTAACGTATTAATCAATATAAACAGGGATTCTGGTGGACATCAACTCTACCTCCAAATGCACCTCTATTTCGGAGTCGGTTTTTAAGTATTTCCTCATTTTGGGGTTAATTTGATGGTTATATGTGGTGCTAATGGCTCTAAGCAACACATCCAATGATATTATACCTCAATAGTACTCATAGTTTTGGACATATTTTTATCAAATGAGTGTTCATTTAACTAAATGGATTTAATTTTTTTAGGCAAACCATGCGATAGGCCGGCCCTTCTCACCGAACCTAATGCTCGTAAGTTATCATAAGTTGTTGTTTGACTTGAATTATAGACTTATTTGAATGCAGATATGATGGGCGGAGATGCCCGGAGTCAGAGTTCGATGACAGCTCCACATCCCGGAGGGTATGCACCTGACCATCACGATGGCTATGGTCATCACGATGGCTACGGCCGACCCCCTCCTACGGCCGCCCAGCCCTATATGGGTGATCCATATATGCAACAAACAGATCCGTAAATATATATTTTATTGTTTTATTGCAACAAAGTTTTGACCAAATTTTATAGTTATAGAGACGGACGTCAGCCGCCAGTGTTGGCCACAACGCCTGCTCCAGGCTATGGACCCCCGCCCGGTGCGACCCCATTGATAGGAGGCGGTCCTCCACCACCAGCCGGTGCCCCACAACAGGGGGCTGTTATGATGGTCTACGGCTTAGATCACGAAAAGATGAATTGCGAACGAATTTTCAACTTATTTTGTTTATTCGGAAACGTTGTTCGAGTCAGTAGTCATCCAAATGGAGTCCAGAAACCAATGATTTTCACTCAATATTATCCATAAATTTAGGTGAAATTCTTGAAGAGCAAAGAGGGCTGTGCTATGGTTCAGATGGGAGACCCGGTGGCGGTCGAGCGCTGCGTCAGTGCACTGAATAACGTGACATTCTTTGGCCATAAGATGCAATTGAGTTACTCGAAGCAGGCCTTCCTCAACGACGTGCAGCAGCCCTTCGACCTCATCGACACGACCCCCTCCTTCAAGGACTTCATGGGCAACCGAAACAATCGCTTCACTAACCCGGAGGCCGCCTCTAAAAACCGAATCTCTCCCCCGGCAAAGGTTCTGCACTTCTTCAACGCCCCCCACGGGGTCACCGAAGACGACATCATGAATATCTTCAAAAACAACTCGACTGTCATCCCCAGTGCTGTCAAGTTCTTTCAGTCCAAAAGTGAGTGTCACGCAGTCTGAGACCAAACCATTGACTCATTCATTCATGATTTGTGTCAACCATTAGCCGAACGAAGTTCTTCGGGACTCATTCAGTTCGAAAGCGTCGCCGAAGCCATGGAGGCGTTGGTTCTCTGCAATCACGTGTCGATTCCCAATCCGAGTCAGTATTTCATATGACAAATGTATTTCTGATTATATTTCTAATGTGTGTTAATATCTGTCAAAAGGCGGAAAATTTCCATTTGTTTTCAAATTGTGTTTCTCATCGACGGGATCGCGATTCTAACCATTTATTGAAGAAATTTATATAAAATTTTGTAGAAATCGATAGAAGTATTGAAAACACATTTTATTGGTCTGTATTTCGGTTTAACTTATTTAGAGATAAAAGCAAATCAGCGCTCATTTTGAGGAAATTAAGTATTTGTAAGCATTCACTGATCTGATCGCATGACTTGAGCTGATCCGCCGCCCAAACCATCTTCCGATTCACTATTGATATAGTTCTCTGAATGTCTTCACTATTCTTTGTATTTACTTTCATTGAATCAATAGTTATCTCATTGGGACTCTTGTTTGAAGTCTTAGTCTCATTATCCCTAATGTCTTCAATCATTGCAACACTTGATTCAATTGAAGAGTTTGTGTCCAAATTATGTGAACCTGTAATCAATAGATAATTATTATTATTGTATTGTATTGTATGTCTCAATAAAAACCAATATTTAGTAATTTAATGCAAAAATGTTTACTTTTATTGTCCGCTGGCTTTGTATTCACTGTAATGTCGTTGCAATAAATACAATAATCCTCTGATGTCTTAGTCTTCATCAGTGGTGTCTATAATGCAAAGTAAGTGATCATTGAAATAGCAGACAATGCATGTGAGCGTCACTTACTTGACATGTTTGGCAGTGAGTGTCCAGAAGTCTGTATCCCTTCAGCAGATAAGAGCCCATGATTTTGGTGATCCTGTCGGAGATGTCACGATTGAATGACATTATCACTGATTTCAATGATTTTAATCACAATTCAATTCAATTGCAAACAATTGATTCAAATATTTACAAAACAATACGCTTTGACAAGTCGTAAACGCATACAATTATAGTGTAACACATGGGCTTTGCAAATATTGTATGCTATAAGTAAAAGGGGTGCAAAATATTAAGTGTCTGTAACAGGTTTTGTGAACATATCATAAGTGTTGACATCTGGTGTTGAGTGCATTTGTGGTCACATTTTGAATGACATGTGTTTCGGTGTTACGGTATCTACCGTTGAGTGCATTGTGTGGGCAGTGATTAACTGATTCAGTGATTTAGTGAGCGGTCGTGAGATGTATGGGTCGGGTGCCAGACGGGGCCCCACCGGGCGTTCCCCTTACGACACATCCATGAGCTTTAGGTCACCACTCAATTTCAATCAAAGCAACCAATCATTGGATCAATCATTCAATAAATCCTATTTCAAGTCATTTAATGTGTAAGTATTGACTCGTTTTGATGGCAATGTCACGTGAGATGTGCTCATAATTTGTCATTTAATGGTAGTTTGGGCGACACTTCCCTCAACTCATCCCACCATCAATTGAGTCAATCGGTGCTAATCAGCCAAACCTCTCACCACACACTCAAACCCTACACATCACTGCTACCGGTGCTCGTCATCGAAGCCATCTCTTCCGATGGTATGTCACACACTATCTGTTGATTCACTTTATTTGCTATCATTTATGCATAATATGTGACAAATGAATGCAAACTATGGAACAGCTCTTCATAACTGATCCTCTTTTATGGCCTAAACTGACAGTCAGTACTGATCCATAAGACCGCACCCGACACTACCGTTCCTCACTTTGTTGACTATTAAACAATTAATTGATTATAAATGATGACACAGTATTGGAGTATGAATTTGACAGTAAATACTGAAAACTATTTAAAGATATTTGTGTTGAAAATGACAAATGTATAAACAATTATAATCGTATCATATATTACCGGTGTATGATTGCAATGAAATAGCTAAACATGATGTTTGCATGTTTTTATAAGTCTTTAATATTCAATTGCTCTAGGTGCAATTGTGATAATGTTATTTTAGTATTTTATAATTAAAAATTTGTAATAAATACCTACTTAATTTATTTGTCTAATATTTGATAACCAGCTCATTCTAATTATTTTCAAACTACCCTAAAATACTCCAATAATTTTATTAGAAAATAAATCTTTGGTTTCAATCCCATAAACAAATCAATAATTTGAGTGTAAATCAAAATATCCTTTGAAATGTCATTTTAATTTTCCGTTTTCAATCACTTAAGAACCATAAATTTTTATATAAAATTTAAATATCATATTTAATCATTTTAAAACAAGTAATTTAAATTTATTTAAAACTCCTTTAAGAGTAGAAATTTAGTTATAAAGCAATAATTTTCTTT